TAAGAAGTGCAGGGCTAAGAAGCGCAGGGCTAAGAAGCACCAGGCTAAGAAATGCAGGGCTAAGAAGCACCAGGCTAAGAAGCGCAGGACTAAGAAGTGCCGGGGTAAGAAGCATCAGGCTAAGAAGTGCAGGGCTAAGAAGCGCCGGGCTAAGAAATGCAGGGCTAAGAAGTGCCGGGGTAAGAAGCATCAGGCTAATAAGTGCAGGGCTAAGAAGCGCCGGGCTAAGAAGTGCAGGGCTAGGAAGTGCAGGGCTAAGAAGCGCAGGGCTAAGAAGCACCAGGCTAAAAAATGCAGGGCTAAAAAGTGCCGGGGTAAGAAGCATCAGGCTAATAAGTGCAGGGCTAAGAAGCGCCGGGCTAAGAAGTGCAGGGCTAGGAAGCGCAGGGCTAAGAAGTGCAGGGCTAAGAAGCACCAGGCTAAGAAATGCAGGGCTAAGAAGCACCAGGCTAAGAAGCGCAGGACTAAGAAGTGCCGGGGTAAGAAGCATCAGGCTAAGAAGTGCAGGGCTAAGAAGCGCCGGGCTAAGAAGTGCAGGGCTAAGAAGCGCAGCGCTAAGAAGCACCGGGCTAAGAAGCGCAGGGCTAAGAAGTGCAGGGCTAAGAAGCACCAGGCTAAGAAGCGCAGGGTTAGGAAGTGCAGGGCTAAGAAGTGCAGGGCTAAGAAGTGCAGGGCTAAGAAGCACCAGGCTAAGAAGCGCAGGGCTAAGAAGTACAGGGCTAAGAAGCGCAGGGCTAAGAAGCGCCGGGCTAAGAAGCGCAGGGCTAAGACGTGCAGGGCTAAGAAGCACCAGGCTAAGAAGCGCAGGGTTAGGAAGTGCAGGGCTAAGAATCGCAGGGCTAAGAAGCGCAGGGCTAAGAAGTGCCGGGGTAAGAAGCATCAGGCTAAGAAGTGCCGGGCTAAGAAGTGCACGGCTAAGAAGTGCCAGGCTAAGAAGTGCACGGCTAAGAAGCGCAGGGCTAAGAAGCACCAGGCTCTCGTGGGTTCAACGCTGCGGTTCGAAGTTTGCATTGCACGGCCAAAATTGTGCAACTGCTCTGCGTTTATCTTTTTAATTTAATGTCACTGATTAAAGTAGTGATTTAAACCAAAAAAATTTTCTTGGATTATTTAGAGCGTGAGGATTATATTATGTAATCATTTCCGTGGCTCTCAGCTGGCTATCGCATAGGTTTTAAAATTGCAATGATTAGAAGACTTTAAAAATACCTCTATTCGTACTGGAATTGAAATGCATTTGCTAAATTATATAACGAAAATCACATCCCTAATTGTAGTCAAGGGTTTTCTTTATACGGAATCGCCATTTGCCTTTATAAACACATGTTACAGTAGTCCTACTTAAATTTTTACCAAAGAGTATTGCAATCATTATTTTTAGAGATACAGCCATGCGTTGTGATAATAACGTATATTTAACTTATATCTTAAAAAGAGGACCATTTTTATATTGCGATTATGATTTGCAATAAAAAATATATATTTTGCTCATCAGTCATTGTTCATTCTTAATTTATTTTTACTGTGACACGTCGCGTATGTCAGAGAAGCGATCGGTGTTGTTGTTTTGTGTCAATGAAACCCGATTTTGGAGCTTCTTGGCTCACGGGGTCATTCAAAATAAACACTACTTCATTGGCCAATTGTTTCAGTTATGTAACAGCAAAATCTATTACAAAGACCCGTGCCACTCTTTGCGACTCGATGTTTAAGGTTCGAGCTCACAACAGTTACAAGCAACAAGTTTCTTCCGGGAATGGAGTGTTGGTCACCAGTGGACATTTGTGCACGCTATTGCGAGTGGTGATGCAGTGCGTCATGCCCACCTGGGTCTGGCCACGACTCGTCAGGACACTCTGTGAGAGAGACAAGGAGAGAGAGAGAGATACGCAAGCACACAGGCGCGGTGGGTTATGTACGTACGTATGTCGAACTTCTTTCGCACCGCACGTAGCCGACCGTGCTAGTCGGAGGCGCGGGGGAAGAACAACAAACTAAACACAACAACAATCAGTTTCTAAAAAAATTAGTTTGTCAATCGAGATGATTTAAAAGTGGCACAGCTCCAATGGCTTCCTAATATCGGAAGGAGAGTTCCAGACAGCCGCTCGAAGCACCCCTGAAAGCGCCGCGCGCGATGATGATGATGATGCGGTGACTGCTGTCTTTGTTCGATGGCCAGCAGCCATCGCTGCTGCTGCTAGCGAGGGTCACAGCAAATCCCAAACCTTCGCGGAGTCTCCGGGGGGGTCAACCCCACCCGTTGTCTGCATATCGCCAGGTTTAGTGCCATCTCTGACTAACCACGGGCCAATAGCCAAAGCAGCTCGATTGATTTAAACATTAAATTGACATTTCACGCGATTCACTCTGTGCAAAAAAACCAAGCGGCGTGGGGTCACACAGCCGGCGCAGGTTGTCGGTGGCGCGCCGGTTCCGGCTGCCTTCCCAAGTGCACCTCAAAGTGCACCTAGCCTGGCACAGGCGCCGTGGGGACGTCACCATCACTTTGTGGAGGCTGTTAGTATTGGCTGCCTTCCCGCTTGGCGCCGCGTGACTCACACATTCTGCGGCGCTTTGACCATCAGTTACCATGAGCGTTGGTTACATAAAATAACAATTATTATTACGACTACGTGTTTGGGATGTTTTGATGAGCCTTCATTCGCAAAGTGAAATGTGAGCACAGTGTTCACTCGTGGTTCATGAACTTGCTATCCGCGATTTTGGCATCGAGAGAGATATAAAGTGATGTGATATAATACGATGATAGAGAATGTGATGAGATAATTTAAGGTAAAGTAAGTTCCTATTCTTGGTTCTTTCGGTAAAGTCACGTAGAAGGGAAACAATAATATAATAAAAATATAAAACAATAAAATTATCCAAACGTTTCGACTGCAACACAAGCAATCATCATCAGGTGTGAAAACCACTGCAAGAAATTTTGAAAAAAGTGGCGGTTTTTTTAACGTTAGCACCACGGAGAGCGATTTGGCAGTTATTCAGGTGGACGAGTCCATCTATGTTCGGAAAAGAGGAGGGGGGAGACGAAAATGATGGATGCGGTCTGAAAGCCACCGTAAGCGTGAACAATCAATTAAGACCCGAAATGGTTTATCAAATCCTTCCAATGATTGCTAAGCCAGAATCCATCTTCTCGGTTTAAATTATCTCTGTGTTTGTATATGTGGATAGCCTCATGAACGAATCTCTCATGGTAGCCAGATGGCTTGCAAAGAACCTCTGTCTTGGAGAAGTCAATGTCATGTGAACCTACTGAATTATAACAGTGATCTGCCACGGCCGAGGTGTTGGTCCTACCGTGTTTTAGGTCTGCTTTGTGTTCACGAATGCGGTCCGAGACATGTTGTTTGGTTTCTCCAATGCAACTACTACCACAGAGGTAACTTAGTTTGTAGACGCCAGGGTACTGTATGTCCAGAATCACATCTTTTGCAGACGGAACCAGATCACGGATTTTATGTAATGTGTTGAATCGGACCTGGATCTTGTGTTTATTCAAGATTTTGGAGATCTTTTTTGTGATCCCCGCAATGTCGGGTAAAGTGATGGTTTTGAACGGCTCCTCAAGAGGGTCCTTCTTCATGGTTGGAGTGATAGCTTTGTGGATGTTGTAGTTGCTGTAACCATTCGCCTTAAGAGCTTGGTGTACGTGCTTGAGTTCACTGGCTATGTGTTCCTGGTCGGATATGCATTGGGCTCTATGGTGCAGAGTCTTGATGAGGGAATTCTTCTTGGATGGATGGTGGTGGGAATCCGGTTTCAGGTAAGCATCCGTATGGGTAGCTTTCCTGTAGACAGAGTGGCTCATTGAACCATCAGGTCTCTTTTTTATTAGGACATCCAAAAAAGGTAGCTTGCCAACTTTTTCGACTACCATGGTAAATCTGATGGCTGGGTGTATGGAATTGATGTGGTCGAGGAATTGGTCTAGAGCAGGCCGGCCATGTGGCCAGATGACAAAAGTGTCATCCACGTACCTCTTCTATAAGGTTGGGCGTAGTGTGGCAGTCTGGATGGCGTCAGTCTCAAATTTCTCCATGAAAATGTTGGCTACAACCGGAGATAAGGGGGAGCCCATTGGGGTGCCCTCAATTTGTAGAAAGTTCCATTCCAAGTGAAGTATGTATTGGTTAAGCAGTGTCTCACCATCTGAATAACTGCCAAATCGCTCTCCGTGGTGCTAACATTAAAAAACCCGCCACTTTTTTTTCAAATTTTCTTGCTGTGGTTTTCACACCTGATGATGATTGCTTGTGTTGCAGTCGAAACATCGTGAGAATTTTATTGTTTTATATTTATATTATTTTATTGTTTCCCTTCTACGTGACTTTACTGAAAGAACCAAGAATATGAGTCCCTGCAGTCACGAAAGCTTTAAATCAAAATTTAAAGTAAGTTAATTTATAAACTATTATTTTATATTTTTAAAAATTACATTGTTTATTCTAACACATTTTATTTTGATTCCTGATCATTTTCACGTGTTTAATTATCTTGCATTTATTTAAGGTAATTCAATTTTAAAAGATCGGGTTTTGTAGGCCCAATATCATTCATGAAATGGTTCTGTTGACGAGCATGTCCGGAGAGTAACCTTCGCGAATAACGAGGGCAAGGCTGTGCACCGCACTGACTGCGGTTCTAAATTCCCTCCACCACGAACCAAACTTACCGTTGACTAAAAGCTGACAACTCCACCCATGTGATGATGTGACCCCCGTGAGACGATGGCGTAGACGCCTCTCCCCCCCCCCCCCCCCCCCTGAGGAAACTCACCGCATCCTTCGAGCACAGAGACGTCATCCACTGCCACGTCCCCAAGCCACGTGAGACCTCGAACCCCTTCGAGCACCAACTATGAAAAACACAGCATAAGCAGGAGCAGCAGCAGCAGGGGCACAGGGGCAGCAGCAGCATGAGCAGCAGGAGCAGCAGGAGCAGCAGGAGCATCAGGCGCGTCGTCAAGGGGGGGGTCATTGCAGGGCAAGGGATGCGGCGGCGGCGGCGGCGGCGGACCAATGCGTGGCCGTTTTTGTCGTCCCGGTTTCCGTCAAAGTCGAAGGGTTGAGAGCCACGCGGCCGTCCTAAGAGCAGCGGACAGGCGGTGAAACGAGGACGCGGCCGTAGACTGGTTTCGTCCCCGGGGCTCATATGAACTGTCAACCCCTTATCAGTGCCTTAACTTGTTACAGACCAATTCATACCGTTATTGGCCCTTTATACAACTCAACATTCATCCGACAAAATCCCAACACAATGTAGAAACACAAATAGACAAGACAAAATGTGCCCATATTGCAACAAGAATACGGGGTACACCGTATGGGTTGACAGCTATGGGGGCTCATCAATGCAGTCGCCAATGTTAGCTGCCGCAATCAGCCTCTGGCGAGTCCTAATGAGGATACAACTGTGATGACAGGGCCACGTTGTAGCACCTCTGTCGCTCCAGTTAACATGAAGCATAGTGACTTGCGCTATCAACATGGCCACCTGAGTTCGATTCCCGCTCATGGCCAACACCGGTGATGGTTATCTGAACCGGTCCTGGGCCTCCCCTAGGTCGACTCAGCCTCAAGTGAGTACCTGGCGCGGTGTGAAAACATCGCCACTGGAGAGACAAAGGCCACTGGGCGTGGTGCTACTCGTTCCGGCCTTCAAGAGCGCTACTCGCTAACAGCACTTTTCCCCAACCAGTCTGTTAAGGCTACATGTACGGTGGAAGGGGGAGATTATATTTTGTTCTAGATTTGAAGCTTTCGTGACTGCAAGGATCCATACTCTTTGGTTCTATTCGGTAAAGTCACGTAAAAGTATAAAACAACAAAAATAAAAAAAAATTCACGACGTTTCGGCCACAACACAAGTGGCCTTCATCAGGTGAAGGGACCAGACTGTCTCGAGGACAGCACTGGAGTGAACACAGCCAAGCTCAGACCACGACCTTTAAGCTGTGTGAGAGGAAGCAGAGTGCCTTGACGAAGGAATTAGCATAAAAAATAGTATTTAATTGGCGGACTTAGCATGATGAACCATGTAGAGAGGGGGGACATGTGCAGACCGGCGAGGGGGGGGAGGGGGAGTTTACATATTGATGGTGTGAAAAGGGAATTTAAGCAGCTGCGAAAGTTTGGGATACCACTACTTGAAAAAATATACTGTACCATTGAAAATTAGTTTAATGTTTGGTTCGATTTAGAACATCTTTCCAATGGTTGCTTAATTTGAAACCATCTTCTCGGTTGAAATTGTGTCTGTGTTTGTAAATCTGAATTGCCTCGTGAACAAACCTCTGATAAAAACCCGTGGGTTTGCAAAGAACCTTGGTATCGGAGAAAATTATATCGTGATCACCCACAGCGTTGTAACAGTGATCAAGGCGTAGGACACATCCAAGCAGATGTTGCGAGAGCTTAAATAGCCACTATTCTTAAGAATGCTAAGAAACCCATTAGCAACATCAGCAAAAATGAACGCTCTGAACTCGCTAATTTAAAAAACAGAAGTGACATAGTCATCCTCTCAGCCGATAAAGGCAACGCTACTGTAATTATGGATAAAGATTCATACAACAACAAAATCCAGAATCTGCTCAACGATGGAAGTTACTCAAAAATTAAAAATTACCCTACTAATAGCCTAGCGATAAAAACCAACAAGATCATCACAAGTTCGACTTCCCTAATCCACCCTAAACGTCCCTCCCTAAAACTTTCTGCTGCAAGACCCCCTAGATTCTATGGTCTTCCCAAGATTCATAAAGAAGGCACCCCACTACGACCCATCGTATCCACGATCAACTCCCCTACCTATAGACTAGCCCGTTTTCTGTCAGATACCTTGCTGCCTTTCACTGGCAAGACCGCCTCAGCAGTACTTAACTCAGCCCAATTGGTCTCTATGGTCAAAGACGTTGTACTGTCCCCTGACGATATCCTTGTCAGCTCGATGTGGTCTCTTTGTTCACCAAGGTCCCAGTACCTGATACCATTGAAATAATTGAAAATTTGGTCCAACATGGACTAGACCCCGATACACCTGCACTGGTTAGGCACTGCCTCAACAATACCTACTTTACTTGGAATGGCTCCTTCTACAAACAAAATGAGGGTACCCCCATGGGATCCCCCTTGTCAGCAGTGATAGCCAATATTTTCATGGAGAAATTTGAATCAGACGCCATCCAGACTTGCACCCTCAGACCTTCCCTGTGGAAGAGATATGTAGACGACACTTTCGTCATTTGGCCACATGGCCTCCCGGCTTTGAACCTTTTCCTAGACCACATTAATTCCAGACACCCCGCCATCAAATTCGCCATGGAAGTGGAGAAAGATGGCAAGTTGCCATTCTTAGATGTTCTGTTTGAGAAGAGACCTGATGGCTCATTGGGACATTCTGTCTACAGGAAACCCACCCACACAGATTCCTACTTGAAACCTGATTCCCACCACCACCCGACGCAAAATAATTATCTCATCAAAACGTTATACCACAGGGCTCATTGCATTTCGGACCAACACCACCTGACCAGTGAATTAAAACATGTGCATCTGGCCCTCAAAAGGAATGGATACTCTGACCGTACCATCTGCCAAGCTGTTTCTCCCTCCATACAGAAACAACCACTTGATACTCCGATCAAAACCATCACACTGCCATATATAGCAGGCATTACTAAAAAGATCTCCAAAATTCTAAACAAACACAAGATCCTGGTCCGGTTCAATACAGTACACAAAATCCGTAACCTGATCCCTTCCATGAAGGATGTCATTCCTGACTTACAGTACCCCGCAGTTTACAGATTGATCTGCACCTGTGGTGACTGTTATATCGGGGAGACGAAACGAATTCGCGAGCACAAATCAGATTTGAAACACGGCAGAACGAATTATTCTGCCGTAGCTGATCACTGCTACAACGCTGTGGGTAATCACGATATAATTTTCTCCGATACCAAGGTTCTTTGCAAACCCACGGGTTTTTATCAGAGATTTGTTCACGAGGCATCATGCTAAGTCCGCCAATAAAATGCTATTTTTTATGCTATTTCCTTTGTCAAGGCGCTCTGCTTCCTCTCACACAGCTTAAAGGTCGCGGTCTGAGCTTGGCTGTGTTCACTCCAGCGCTGTCCTCGAGACAGTCTGGTCCCTTCACCTGAAGAAGGCCACTTGTGTTGTGGCCGAAACGTCGTGAATTTTTTATTTGTTATTTTTGTTGTTTTATACTTTTATGTGACTTTACCGAATAGAACCATGGTGATTCCATCAGAGCAGTGGGATGGTGCCGTACCGAGGTGGCCTCCACCGCGGCCTGCAGGGTCACCGATCCTCGCTTCCAGGCATCTCCCTGGGGGCCCTGGCGGGACCACACGAGCGACTCGGCGGGGCCCGCCTTGGCGTAGACGTTGAGGGCCATGCCGGCGTCCTCACTCCTCATGAGGTACCAGAAGCGCAGGCACGCAGAGCGCGCCCAGCGCGCCGCGGGGCTCTGCAGCCGCACCGTCTGCGTCTCGATGAAGTTGTGAGCCTCCAGGTAGATGTAGCAGCCGTCTGAGGGCGGGGCAGACAAAGACAAAGATCTCCCGTGTAGCCTTAACATACTGTGGGGGCAAGTGCTTTTAGCGAGGAGCACCTGTGAAGGCCGGGATCGAACCCACGACCTCCTGCATACCACGCTTGGTATTTAACATCTAACCAGAGTGATGATGTTGACGAGAGAGAGACACGCAAACTCCAAATAAACCGCAGGTATCAGAGTCGGGTTCGAACCCACGACCTCATGCATACCAGGCGAGGTAGTTAACATCTCCTAGCCACAGTGATGATGATGAGGGAGAGACACGTAAACTGCAAATATACAGCAGGCGTCAGGGTCGGGATAGAACCCACGACCTCCTGCATACCACGCGAGGTATTTAACATCTCCTAACCACAGTGATGATGTTGATGAGAGAGACACACAAACTGAAAATATACAGCAGGCGTCAGGGTCGGCATCTAACCCACGACCTCCTGCATACCAGGCGAGGTAGTTAACATCTCCTAGCCACAGTGACGATGAAGGAGAGACACGCAAACTGCAAATATAGAGCAGGCGTCAGGGTCGGGATAGAACCCACGACCTCCTGCATACCAGACGAGGCAGTTAACATCGCACTAACAGGATCTAAAACCCAATCCCCCCCTTCGACTATGACAATTGAGCGCTGTTCACGCCGTCATTCTTACTCTGTTCGCAACCCCCCCCCCCCCTTCGCGCGTTCCACTCACTTCCCGTGGTGTGGTCTCCGCTGGGCCCCGACCTCGCGGTTGGAGTGGGCCCGCTGGTCCGGATCCACTCGCCGTCGTCCCCCTCACACAGCTGCTTCCATTCGCAGAAGGGGTCGTTGTGGTCGTCGAAATCGCAGGAGACGGAGGTCACTGCGGGGACACACGGAGCGGTAGGGAGAACCGTTCCCAGCGTCACCGTCGCTGCTCAACGATCGACCTCCAGCGATGGAATTAGCAGCCCTCGCCGCCTTTGCAAACCGAAATAAAACGACATTTGGCCAATGGCAAGGAAACCAAAAAAGATACATTTTTTGCCAGGTTAAGGCCCCCACTGAGCTACATAGATCTTTTTGCAAAAGCGGACTGGCCATCGCAAATGACAGCTCAACGAACGTGGCTTATCACGCGGAAATGTGCACCAGCCAAACACTCTAAACGCGTGATGTTTATTCTAAGTGTGGAGAGAAAAAAACCGGAGGACCCGGAGAAAAAATCACGTGGCCACGGGGAGAGAGACACGCATACTTCATATATACATGGAGTCCGGGTCGGGATAGAACCCACGAATCTCCTGCGTACCAGGCGAGGGAGTCAACATCTCGCCACCGCGGCACCCGTTTGATCACCACGATTACGCTTGCGTATCCGGGAAAGCAAGAAATCCGGAACACAGAACCCAACCATTCTGACAACAAAGCAACCACTGAGCTGGCAAAACAATATGTGCTCATTATGTATCGCGGTTATGCATAAAGAATGAAAGAGCAGCAGCGGCGATGATAACGATCTTGCGGAATTGAGATTTAATTCACCGTTGTGCGTGACTTGCTGCTGTGTTCCGCCAGTTGTGCTCGCAGCGTTCTGTGCCCAGGCTCTGCAACAACAACAAAAATCAGCGACTCCCGCGGATTGCTCGACAAACACTGAAGTCAACGTTCCACGCCACGCTGCACATCGCCGCATAAAACGGCGTGCATCGCATCGTCGTTTTCAACAGAGTGGAACCCACTCAGCCAACAGCCGGCGGAATGCAAAAAAAACACAGTCTTTAACATTGAAGTCTATGGGAGGATTGAACATTGAAGTCTATGGGAGGATTTAACATTGAAGTCGATAGGAGCCATACAAGAGAAGACGAATAACATTGAGGACATTGCTATATTTGCAGAGTATACAGAGCGATAGTAGCAGTTATAGTACGCTGAATTTACCCTGTTTCTTGAAGAAAGGGCCATGCCATTTGGCAGCCTATGAACACGACCACAAATCTGCTGACCATTCTGTTCGAGTGAGTGGCTTTATGAATCCGACTACCACCTCGCCACTGAATTGCCTTGCTCTGACCTCCTCTGTAAGCAGCACCCTCGGGGTTATAAAGGCCCCGCGTGGCCCTGTAGGGCTGACCTATGTTCTGTTTACACAGGGAGGAGATTTTCTTTACTTATCGAGAATTTGACAATGTTACATGCGGGGGAGGGGAGGTGACGACGACATCGTGTACGCACGTCACACGCTTGTGATTGTTATTTACTTAAATGTCTACGCTAATAATAAAACAAGGGAGGTTGCTCAAGGCGCACTCGTCTCGTGCATCAAACGGTGCCTTCGGATTGCATTGCAACGCGGCCGCGTCCCGTCGGGCGTGACCCAACAAAGCGGCCGCGTGACTCTGGCCTCGCGTGAACAACATCCATCACCCGCTGTCGGTCGTGCGCCCGCTCGGCTGTTGGGTCGTGGAGAATCATCGGGAAAGCAAAAAACGATAAAAAAAAAACACTGCCCGTCACAAAACTCCGCACGCTCTCGTCGTCGCCACCACCACAATCGTCGTCGTCACAATAAACCATCAATCCGACTAACGACGCCCATTTTCGCCCCCGGATGACGGTGGGTGTCGTTGCGTTGAAGGCGACAACGGCGTGACAGGTGGAGCCGCCACGAGGAGGACCCAGGGGGAAATCCACGCGAGCACGGGGAGAGACACCGCAAAGTCCAAATATACAACAGCAGGCATCAGGGTCGTCTCACCCCCGTCAACCACATTTGCAACTTCATCGACTGGCCGATGCACAGCTCTTCTTCTTGCATTGCAAGTTCAGGACAAGCCGTGGTACAAACTAAAGTTAACTTTTATTTTATTTTACCAGGTAAGGTCCCACTGAGCAGCAACGTAGGAGCTCTTTTACAGAAGCGAAGTGGCCTACCACAAATGACAGCTCAACGAAGTTGGCCTCTCAAGTGTAAATGTATAGCAGCAGCCAACACTCTAAACCACGTGACGTTGATTCTAAATGTGGAGGGGAAAACCGGGGGGACCCAGAGAAAAATCCACGCGACCACGGGGAGAGAAAGACACGCAGACTCCAAATATACAGCAGGCGCCAGGGTTGGTATTGAACCCACGACCTGCATACCAAGCGAGGTAGTTGACATCTCGCCAATCTTGACCATTTAAGCAAGCCATTGTAGTCTGCGCTATTTCTTCAACAGAGGAGGAAGAGCAAAACCACACAAACTATCTGCAGAAACCCTCTTCATGACAAGAAGACCCTGACATTGGCATCTAGCTCCTGAACATATTTCCACACGCAGGAATAGAAGAGAAACATCATCAACAGCTATAACCAATCCACTGCTGGATGAAGGCCTCCCAATAAGTTATCACATCCCGTCAGGGTCTTGCAATGCCGTCATCATTCTCGCTTCAAGTTCTCAGTTTTTATAATGTTCATTCTGGTCTACGGGAGATATATTTTAAGGACAGACACGCATGCCGTGTAACATAACCGTTCAAATATTTACTATTTAATAAATTGCACGGTCACCAAGATCACACATAGCTTCAGTACTTACAGCAGCCCTCTGTCAAGCCATGCCTCGTCAGTCATGAGAGTTGTATGACCTTGCTTCATCAAGCTGGCCAGTGCAGGTTGGTGAATATGCCACTGATGTGAGTCGCGGTTGTACGTATATGTTAAACTTCTTTTGCACCGTACGTAGCCAACCGTGCTTATCGGAGGTGCCGGGGAAAGACAACAAACTAAAGGCAAAAAGCAGTTCTAAAGAAATGAATTGTCAATTTAGATGATGATTTAAAAGTGCATAGCTCCAATGGCTTCCTAATATCGGAAGGAAGAGCGTGCCAAACTTGCCACAAGCACAGCGCATTGCGGTGACCGCCTTTGTTCAATGGCCAGCCAAGAGTCACTGCTGTGAAGATGGCCGGAGTTCGCGTGGTGAAACTGTCGTTGTTATCAAACTGAGGTTGTGAACAACTGTGTCACCATCCCTCCACCCCATCCCACCAATAGCGACAATGATTCTCCAGCCGGGCGGTGGTGACTATGCACGTGGCCTGTGATCCAGCACTGTGGAGGCAGCAGCGAGGGTTGGCGGATCGCATCAAATGTTGTGCAACTCCCGTCCCGTGAGCATCGAGGTGCCATGACCCTGGCTCGCCAAGAGAGAAAGCGGTAAAGCGAAAATGTGGACTGTTCCGTTTGTGTGGGATAGAGCGTTGACCCCTCGCACGCGGGGATCTCCTGGCTGCTCACGTTTCCTCCCACATGTATAAACACTCATTGATTGGCGTGATAACACCGCGATATCGAGAGAGGACTGCAGAGCATGGACAATTGTTGGTGCCAGTTCATATTGGTTCCATCTCACGCCTCTGAGTAATTATGTAATGTAATGAGCGAATAAATGTGCGGTGGTGGAACGTTACACGTTTAAGTTATATTCTTAAAATGTTTCCATTTCAAGGCACAAGATATTGTGCGTATATATCTTGTTTGAAACTCGTGAGTTTTTTTTCCCGGCCTGCATCATGACTCTGCTGTGGTGGGGTTTTCTCATCGTTAACCAATTCGAGTCCACTATGTTCGCCCGCATTTTTCCAAACCGGGCCGCCGCGGTGGTGAGATGTTAACTCCATCGCTTGATATACAGGAGGTCGTGGTGGGTTCGATTCCAACCCCGACGCCTGCTGTCTATTTGGAGTTTTCGTGTCTCTCTCTCTCCCCGTGGTCGTACGGAATGTTATCCGGGTCCTCCGGTTTTTATCTCCACATTTTGAATCAAGATCACGCGAGTTTTTGGCTGCTTAAAATGTCCACATGATGATAAGCCCACCTCGTTGAGCTATCATTTGTGATAGCCAGATCGTTTCCGCAAAAAGCGACACAGCAGCTCAGTGGGGCTTACCTGGTCAAATAAAAACTCGCTCAGTTTATCGTTTTAATCGATTCTAGGATGGTGATAGCAACGTGATCCCAAAAAGGTGATCGTGAGTGAAGGGACCAGGCCGAGGCATTGGTTCATGGCCAAGTTGTCGCTGGCGAGATTGCTTGTTGTCGTGTTTAGTTTGTTGTCCATCCCCCCCCGTGCACCTTCGATTAGTATGGTTGGCTACGTACGGTATAAGTGGGGGTACTCGTGGTGGGGGGTGGGGGCACTCGGGGCAGGGGGGGGGGGGGACTCGTGGCGGGGGACGGGGGCACTCGGGGGGGGGGCGGTGCAGGGGGGCACTCGGGGCGGGGGGGGGAGACTCGTGGCGGGGGCACTCGGGGGGGGGCAGTGTGGGGGGCATTCGGGGCAGGAGGGGGGGACTCGTGGTGGGGGGCACTCGGGGGGCGGTGCGGGGGGGCACTCGGGGCAGGGGGTGGGCACTCCCAGGTGATGGCCCGCAGGGGAGCGGTGTGGTTGGGCACCTTCGTGCTCACCACGAGGCCACCACTCCCCACGGTGACGCACACGACTATAAAGACAGGTCTGCTCGTAGCTGCTCTGAAATGACCCATTGGCAAACCACTCCTATTGTCATCATTGTTATTATTTTGGTTAATAAAAACACTATCACTTCCGTTCTGTACACGTACATTAATTTAGTATGGTGGCCAGCTATACCTGTAGTTAAACTCGACGTGATATTGAGCACGCCTTAGCTCAGAGACAAGTTATGCCTGAGTCAAGACTACCCCCATCACCCCCCTCTTTCAATATTCTGGAGTTCATCAGCAGTTCAGGCTTCCTGTACAACATTGTTCTTTGCACTGACAAGGACCGATCTCTTTGGGGGAGTGTTCTCACCAATGACATCGAATAAACAAGCAGCATTTCTCTAGCAAGCCTGACACTACTGATGAGAACCAGAAGAGTGAACCCTGTCAAATTGGCTTATCAGACTACACAATATTTATTTCTGCTTATGTATTTGTAGGGGTGCTATGGGGAATAAACACATGACACGGGAAGGTGTGGTTCACCCACACCTTGGTGGCTACAACAACGTCCGCTAAGGCTCCAGTGGGTATAAAGTGCGGGGAGCCAGGGAGCTCGGGGCAGAGTGTGGGGCCCGAGGCTGAAGCAACCAGTGAAGAAAGAAGGCCAGCTAGGTGAGACCCTGGAACTCCTGTGACCGCTGCCCTTTTCAGGGCCGGCACAGCAAACCAGTGGTGCGGCCCCAGAGCCCCAGAGTCAGAGTCCTTCTAAGGGCCGGTCTGGTCGGCGGGGTGCCGAGATCTGTGCCTAACCAGGGCCGGATCTGATAGCCTCCCTTAGAGCCCTACCAGGAGGAACTGGGAGCCTAGAGCTTAGGCCAGAGAGCCTGGGGTGTGTTCCTGAGTTATACGGGTGGAGGGGCCGCTACCCCTTCTAGTGTAACCCTTGTTAAGGTTTAAATAAATAGTGCTGCTTCTATTCTGCCGTCTCCGTGTCCTGGAACCCACTACAACTGGTGTCAGAAGTGGTCTTAAAATGGACACAAGGAGTACAAACCGATCACAGGAACCCCAGGAGGAGGACGGCTCGCCTGGGATTGCGCCAGAGGCCGCGGCCGACGATCCTGGGATGTCCCAGACGCCCCAACAGCAGCCGCCGCTGGAGGAGTGGCCGCCGATGGAGGACGGGTTGCAGGCGGCTCACTCTCGACTGGCTGAGCTGCTGTATGCCGCGGCTTCCACGCTGGAGGAAATCAACCGCGCGGGGCTGCGGGCGCAAAGGCGGCAGAGAGACGAACGCCGTTCAACGGCCATTCCCGCCGAAACACAGCCACCAGATTTCGGATTTGCCGCCATGACAGTGTCCGCCACGGCGATTGGAGGGTCGCAGCGCCACGTGGACGCTGTGGGCCAATCAGCGGTGGTGACGTCATCACCAACGGACGCCCGCTGTCATGACCAATCGGCGGGCGCATCGTCATCACCTGCGCGACCGCCGATGGGTGTCCTCAGCCCCTCAGACACCGGTGGAGAGGCCGGAAATGGCGCGCGGCACCTCTCAGAGACGAAGCCATCGTTTCAACAACGCCTGCCGGTGTTGAAGGAGTTCGTTTCAGACGGCGGCGACTGGGGG